GGTCCTCGGTGCGAGGCTGCTAGCGAGCTATATCCACCCTGAAGGTTAATCTTGGATAATATCTGATGATCGACTCTTTTAAATGAAACCAGAGAGCGTTGACAGAGAGGAGAAGGTAGAAATGACTCAGCCTGGAACTGAAAATATGGAAGAAGAACCTCAGCTTAGCCTGTTAGTCTTTGTGCTGGCGCTGACGCTACATTGCCTTATATGTTTTAGCTCGGTGCTAGCGCGACAAACTAACTATCTAAACTGAGGTCCTCCATCCATTTTTTTCAGTTACAGGCTGAGTCATTTCTACCTTCTCCTCTCTGTCAACGCTCTCTGGTTTCATTTAAAAGAGTCGATCATCAGATATTGTCCAAGATTAACCTTCAGGGTGGATATAGCTCACTAGCAGCCTCGCACCGATGACCTATCCACGTCATGATTTACCCAGAATGCTTTGCGTGTAAATAAAATGGATCCGTCCGTGTAATATATTTTTCAACATTTAGTTTAAAAATGATAAAAACTAAACAGGCTACAGTATTTTTAAAGTCTTTATCTTACAGTTAAAATAAATGTTTATCAAATAAAGTCTAATGTTAAAACTAGTTGGGGATCCCTTTAAAGAATACTCACCCTTTGGCCAATCAAACCATGCTCCCCAATGGTGCCAGGTGGACCAACAGAACCCTGAACACAGAAACAAGATGATGATGATGATGATGATGATGATGATGATGATGATGATGATGATGTTACTATGACAAATATAGAATCATTTGGGAATGAGAGAGGATGATTTATTATGATTATCTACTTGATAAGGCCATAAATTGACCATTAGCCAGCTGACCCAGTAGAGGTCAATAAAAAAAAAACAAAATCAGAAATAAATCCAAAATAACTGCTATTATTTTGAAACAGTTTTTGCTCTGCTTTTATCATAAAACTTAGTAAGTGTTTCTGTGTGCTTTAGCAGCACAGTTTGTGACAAAGTAAGGAGTATGTCATGTCAACACACTAAAACTGCAAAGACTGCAAAGACTGCAAAGACTGCAGGGACTGAAAGACTAAAAGAATGTAAAGTTTTTCTTAACCAACATATGGACTTTTACGGGTTTATTTACTGAATTTAGTAACAAAGCATTGAGCTTAGTGTGCAGAGAACAGCATGGTGTTTGTAAGGATTATAAATAAAAACAGCACCATTACAAACAGAACAGACACTTCAGAAGTTCATTTAAACTAAAAAGCAACAAGGCATTTTTTTTTTACTAGGATGCTGACTCAGCATTCGCACAACAATTTGAGGAATGTTGTTTGTTGTGATAAATATTTGTGTGCTTGTATAGCATCCAAAATCCACGATTGAGACATTTAATTCCATAGAGAAGGAATTAAACCCCGCATTGGCTTTAATGGGAAGGTTTTATCTTTTCACGCAGCGACCTCTTTACCTTCTCTCCAGGTTCACCAGGCGGTCCTCGCTCTCCGAGTTTACCAGGGGGTCCCTGTCAGGAACAGTGACGGCCTTTGTTATTTTCTGCTGATGTCGAGCTCAGCGCCGGTTCTAACACGAGCTGTGTGATCAACTCACCATCGGCCCCATCGCCCCCAGTGGCCCGGTCCCTCCTGCTGGTCCTGCTGGTCCCTGCAGCAGCATCAATAAAAAAAGAGTTTGAAGCTTTTTTTTATTATTATTATTGGAGCAACACTTCACCAAGTGATGGTAGAGAAGAAAAAATGGGAAAAGAGATAAGCACTCGGCAGAAAGTGTGGATCTGTGGCGATAACTTAATCTGAAGGGGCTGAGGCTCTTTCAAACAATGAGCCAAAGCTTCTGAAAGTGATTAAAACTGACCCGCTGTTATTGAGACACATTCAGACTACAATAAAGCTGCTTCTACAGGAAGGAAATGGTGCAAATCAAATTGTCTTGGTTGCGCATGTCCATGAGTCTTGGACAGCAGCAGAAAAAAGGATTAGACTGCTCTGGGCTTTTCCAACAGGAGAAAAGGTTTCTAGGAAAAGCTGAAAAGAGAGTTTTTAAAATGAAATTTATGTATGAGCAAGTTGAAGGGTACAAATGAGAGATATTTTAGTCCTTTCTGAGAACAAATCTCAATCCATTATATATTTTTTAAAATGTTAGAGCTGCAAAAGTCAAAGTTAAGTTCTATAGGGTTGGGGAGAGAGGGGTGCAAAATACAAATAAAATAATAAACTTACTGGTTCTCCAGCAATTCCTTTGGTTCCTGGAGGTCCCGAGGGGCCCTGAACACCCTGAAAATAATGCATGTAGAGTTTGAAATTGTGTTAAAAATATTAACAGCAAAAAAGTCAACAAATAAAATCACTTGTGTCTAAAAGGTGTCCCTGTCAATTTTGAAATCTGAAAAGCCTTTTAGTCCCAGCCACTTACTTGAAACCCCTTTGACCCAGCTTCACCCGGTTCACCAAGCTTTCCCTTCAGGAAGAAATGACACAAAAGGAAAAAAATGTAAATCTTTGAGACACATTTAAATAGATTCATTTAGTTATAATCCAGGAAGAAAAGTTGAGTAGGTCCTTTGGACGGGTTCTTCTTTGTTGAAAAAAAAAACAATTTGTCTCTTCAGGAGACTACTGCTTATAAAGCAGAGACAAAACCTTTTTTTCCAACAAAGAAGATCTTGTCAAGAGTCATTTACTTTAAAAATAAATTCAAAGCCTAACATTTCTCTACAGATCACATCCTTCATGCAAGTATTTTAAACTAAGATAATCTTATGATGAGTAATAGTAGAGCCACAGACCATTTGGTTAAAACATTGGGCCTCATGCAAAATATGTTCGTATTCTTATCCTAAATTTCTCTTACTTTTGTTCGTACGAAGGGTTCGTACGAACATGTCACGTCAGATTCAACAAACTCTTCTATCTTCAGGAAAAGTGTGTAAATGAGCTGCGTAAATTCCACCTGTTCTATCCAGCTGCTCGTGCACACGAGAGGAGATTAGCATAATTGCCACCCCAAAAACACCATATAAGGCTGTGTTTCCTGCCTTAGATACAAGGAAGTGTTCATTCATGAAAATGACAGCGAAAACTAAAAAGAAGAACTTTACGAGTTCAGAGATTGAAGTCCGTCTGTCAGAGATCCAGAAAAGAAAATTTGTCATTTTTAGCAGGTCAGCTGTGGAATAAAAGGAGCTGCTAAAAGTATAAACAACTGTGTTAAATCATTTTCATTTATTCAGAAGCCACACCGTTGAGCACCGTACACCCCCACCCCGAGAGCGTGTTCTTTCTGCTGCTGGCCCCGCACCCGATAGCGGATAAGCCGGCCGGACGGACAATTTATATTGTTAGTCTAAATTATTACATTTAAAATTATAACTCTAATTCAAGCAGAATGGCCTATTGTCAACATAATTATGGAGTGTGATTTATTTTCAACTCAAAATATCTTCAAACTAATGAAATACAAAGTTATTAGGGAGGAAAATCTGCCTGGATAACAGCAGACTGACTGCTGGTAAAATACAGTATACGACAGGTCTGGACCACTCGGGAAATTTGTTCGTATCTGAAAAAAATCTTAAAATACGAAAACATTGGTGAATGCCACAAATTCTCCTAAATCACTCGTACGCACAACTTAAGAACAAATCTGTGCGTACGAACGGTTCTTGCATGAGGCCCAATGTTTTGAAGGATCACGTGATAATAAAGTGATATCATGCATTTAAATCCTATTTCCCATTGAAATCATTCCTTTGGGGTTTATATAAAGTGGAACTGCAATGCTTTGATTTGAATTCCTCCTTATTGGAGAAAGGAAAGTGCTAGCTGCAAGAAATTTGAACGTCATACATGTGAAAAGATGTGTAACAATATGGCTTGGTTAAAACATCCCAACCAGCCTGTTAAAAGATCACTAAAAATCAATATTTTTTAACAGGCTGGTTAGGGGTGTTTTAACCAAGCCATATTGTTACACATCCTTTAACATGTACAACGTTCAAATTTCGTGCAGCTAGCACTTTCCTTTCTCAAGTTATAACTAAAATTAATCTAAAAAAACGTTACTTCCTGCCTGACTCGACCAAGCTACTCTCCGCTGTCTCCAGCCTCATACCCCACCGTCAATTAGGCCAATCACATCACTTGGGCCGTCTCCGCCCACATCAAGTCCTCGGCCAATGACGATTTGAGCCGTCTCCGCTCACAGGACAAGTTCTGCAGAGACCCCTACTTGCCTTATTGTAACTCCACAAGCCCCGCCCCCTTTTCTGAGGTGCATTTTAGATCAACTCGTTTTGGTTTCTGAAAACATCTTGGAAAGTGGAAAAAAAACTGAAAAGGTTGAAAAAATAAGACCCAAACAGAATATAAAGGTATTTATGCAGCAGGAGAGAATAAATTCACTTTTTCTGCACTCCTAGAGACTCCAAGTACACAACAAAATGTATTTAACAGCTTTAAAAAGTGGATTTTGCATGATATGTCCTCCTTAAGAGATCTTGTGAAGTGTGTTAGCACTCAGAGCGTGTGTTGAGGATGAATGTCAGCCATTCCCACATAAATTTAATTCAATATCTGTAAAAATGGCTGAGTTGTAGCCAGTTTTGTGTTGGCTAAGGTTGATTAGATGTGGTGGCCATTTTGAACTGAGTACATCCATTGATTATTTTCTGTAATTCCTATTCAGGTTTTTTTTAAGTAGTTCCTGAGATATAAACACACAGAGAGGCAGTGCTTGTGCCGACAGGTGCTTGAAGGAAAATTATTTCTACTATCAGAGAAAAGTATTGAATTTTTCTCACCATCTCCCCTGGGAGCCCGGATTTTCCGGGTGGACCATCAGAACCCTGCAAAGAAAACCCAGCAGCTAAATGAGCTTTCTGAAATCATCCTCCAGTGGGGAAAAAAAAAGTGTCCAACTGCCAAGCTCTACCAGCACCATTAATAATTCAAAGCTCTCTGATTGAAGATTCTCCTTTTAAAACATGCAGTTAAAGAACATGTTTAAATAAACATGCTTTAGATGTTAGAAATAGTTAATAATTACAGGACATAATAATTAGCAAGATTTATTTTTATTTTTTTATCCTTCAATGAGTTTTGTTTATCTTTGAGACATTTTTTAACGAGCGTCGTTAGAAAACCTAAAGCTGAAAGTTTCTCCAAGTGAATTTAAAAATAACAATTCGACACATCTTGAACATGGTCGCAGTTTTCACCTTTGACACCAGGACCGTGAGCTCACCTTGATCCCTGCAGACCCTCTTTCTCCAACGGGACCATCAGGACCTCTTGGACCCTATAAGAAATATTTAGAAATGATGACATATTGTGCTTTCGCTGTCAGTTTTCATCACCCATTGGGTGACCCTGAAAGTCTGAAGGTGGTGCTTTTGGTTTTTTTGTGCACTTTTTTTTCCAGACTGAGACTATTTAGCATTAAGTCCACATCTACTGTTTATCTCTGCAGAAACCACAGTCCCCACTGCGCAGAACCCTGTCCCCACTTTCCAAGATCATAACCATGGTTTTGCCTTCACACTGGGGTAATTGGACAGAAGTTGTGTAGCTGATTCACTCTAAACTTTAAAACTATTCATTCAAGCAGCACTGGAGCCTTTGTCAGAAGTTCTTAAGAGCTTCTTATATAAGGGATATAAACAGAAGGGTATATAGCTCCTGCCTACATAAAGCCTTGAGATGTTTTTTTTTGTCCAGCAGTAATAACGGACAAATGTGTTCAAGACTGTCGCCTAGACACTAAAGATGGGTTTAATTATAAGGGAACCCTGTTGGAGCTTTGTCCAACTAATGGCAGGTATGATTGTGAAGTGAAATTGCTAAACTTGAAGAATAAAATAAACGTGCTTTTCAATAATCTGCAATAAAGTCCTTTGAATAATACCATTGGAAAAAAACATTTTTCTGCTGAAATATCAATATTTAGATAAAAGATAGAAGAAATCCATTGAATTTGTTTAAGAGCTACTGTAGGTTTTTCTCCAATACGGAGGTGTGTTGGCACTTTAGGACGATAATTTTTGGTTGATGTTTCAAAGTAGACACATGCATTTAAATCCTTCATTTTCATCTTTAT